TCTAGAGTGTGTTTGGGATACATTCTTTTGAAAGAATGTATTATTGAATAGTAGATTTATGGAGAATGTGTGGTTGAAAAAGAAGGAAAAGTTATTGATGTGATGGAAAATATTATTTTATTGAAGAATACGTGGTTGAAAATGAGTAGAAGAATGAGAATGAAAAAAATAATGTGTACCAAATAGGACCCTAAAATCATTTGTTTGCATCTATGAAATCTCACGTTTCATATGCCCCGGTGAGAAAATTTTAAGCTATACAAGTATTTCAGCACTGAAGAAAGTCTTAGCAGTTCTCGTTGTTATAGTGTGCTGGCATCTCAATTTGGGATCAGTTCTATGATATTTATGTTGGATTAGGGAGACACACTAATACACTAATTTAGACGTGCTTAAGCCCAACACACCAGTACACTGTTAGAATGGACTAAGCCTCAAAGTGCTAAATTATGAAATGGTTGTGGTATTGTGCTGTGAAAATGATTATAAATAGTTGAAAGACACATGGAGAACTTGAGTTGTTTGATTTCCATTTTATTCTATTGTGCTAAGTTGCTTGTCTATTTGAAAGACATAGACACATGGAGAACACATGGAGCAACATGACACGGACACTTCGATTTGTGCAAATCAAATAGTCCTTCATTTTGAATCAATCCACCAGTAAATTTTGCGTTTGTATCGGGGAAGATTTTGGGATTCAGGATCAAAACCCACCGGGGATGTTGTGGGAGGAAAGTGACGAAGATAAACTGCTCAAGGTGTGCTCACGGCGTTTGGATCTTTTCACATTCGTGGAATAAAAAATGTGAATTCAATGCTAGGAAATTTTACCGGAAAGAAACGGCAAAGAACTGAAAAGAAATTAGATGTCTCCAAATTTCAGGAACAAGAGAGATTCAACAAGCGGTAACCCACACTGTAATTAAATGGACAAATGCATTTTTTGTAGGTACATCATTTACTGGAAGTAAATCAAAACAACTTAGAAACAATTCCTACAAACTGAGAAAACATAGTGACCTAAAACTTAGAGAGAGATCATGACAGTAAAATGATCTCAGACATTTCCAACATTCATGGTCGAGCCTATATGCTCAAGCTGGAAGAAGTAGATTTCTTGCTGGTGGAAAAAGAGCAACAGCAGCCCTATCGGGATTCGAATATTTTCGCATAACTGCCTTAAGCTTATTTTCTGCTGCATCAGAGTGGATTCGGACCAAGAATTTTGCGCACTCCCTGGAGAGAATGACAAGAAAAGTTAGTAATTTCACAGGAAATTTGTCCAGTCGAGCATATCAGAAAT